ATGTAATTAGTTACTTTTTTAGGGAGTAACGCAATATTGTAATGCATTACTTTTAAAAGTAACTTTCCCCAACACTGCATACAAGTATTTGTAAATCTGGTTGATGTTGCAATCATTTGGGCATCAGGGTCTCTCTGTCACTAGGTGGTGTTTAGTAACTTCTGCTTTTACTTCACAACTCAGGAAACTGATAAGCAGTTCATTACAAAGCTGATTTCACTCTTTCATGTCGAAAACGTGTCATTCTGTCAGGATGTGGTGGACAGTCAAGCACACACAACACAGTTTTCCTGTCATCATCAATGCTGTTTTCATGAACAAATTACATTTCTGCGAAGACTATAATTAAATGGAGACTAAACGAAAGTACTTTCTCAATCAATATAGGCTATTGTTCACAAAATAAGCCAATCTAGAGGTCGTCTACCACCTTTTTCATTTAAAAAGTGTTATTAACTTGTACTTTCACAGAAAGTCAGATAGAGAATGACTCACCGTGTTCCAGATCTTGATGATCGTACCATGGTTCTTCCTCTTTGATGTCAAATTCTCCTTCTGTAATATCTGTGAGCATCTTTAAACAGTCAAGCAGAACAGCTGAGGAGGATCCTCTAGTTTCTATGTTAAACTCTAATTTCGAAATGTTTCATGTAGGCTACTTAATGTCCTGTCAGCAAATTTATGACAGATTTCTTTTAATGGTTGAAAATGATTTCTCTGAGACGTAGCGTGTGTATAACGAGCGTCTCTGCTCTGCTTAATAACCTGAATCTGGACTGTGCGCGCTCACGAGGTGGAGCTCAACGGAGCGCGCACGCTGTGTGAACGCGCCTGTTACCTGCAGGTGCGCGCAGTGTACAGTAGTGTACAGTATAACCTACATACAATCTCTGTTTAACATACAATCTCTGTAGATCCTTTTCCCCCCTGTAGACTGTATCTGAACAACTTTAGGTTGCGTTAAAAGTTAAAACGTTCAAATATAGTTGAGTAGGCTACAGTTCGGACAGAAACAACAAATTTGATAATATAATAGCCTTCATGAATTTGTATACATTTATTTTGACTATTGGTAGTTGGAGCATCTTAGGTTAGGTTAGGTTAGATGATAGATCATCTATCTGTCTGTCTGTCTATCTATCTATCTATCTATCTGTCTGTCTATCTATCTATCTATCTATCTGTCTGTCTATCTATCT